AAGAGCAGAAGAACTGGGGTATGTGCTCCTTAAAAAAATAAAGTATTAATTTTCATTGTTATGAATCAGAGAATTACTCAGAGTCAGAAAAAAAATTAAAGTACTTACTGAGCTTTTGCAGTCATCTGTTTGAACACAGAAATAACTTAATATTTATACTCCTTCTGATAGCCCTATAAAATCCCTATTGTGCTATCAAGAATCAATGATGTGTAATATACATACTGGATATACTGAAAAGCAATTCTGAATATTATGCATAACTTCTTAAACACAAAGAGAGATACATATACAATCGTACAAAAATATTTTTTCACACTAAACCTTCATTCACGGCTGTATTGCAACATTTAAATTATGTTGACACCTCGCAAACGCAATGTAATAAATCCCTCCTTTCGGAGTGCTCGGCAATTATACTTTTTATCTCTGGGGACTCCAATATGGCTACTGGTTTCCTGAATCACATCTTGAGAAGCATTACCTTGCTCACAACCTCCAACGCCATGCCAAACCCTAAAAACTACTTTGTTGCCTCTCTAGTCATAAGCCATGTCTAGGTTATGTGTTAGAATTGGAAACTTTAGCAAAAGAAAGTTGCCAATTTTTTTTTTTTAAATATCACAGATTTATACAGTGCCAGACATTCAAATTTTAATTTTTTCAACTATTTTACTCTATTACTTGCTTGAATTTTAAAATTATCACATTATGACTGTTGATTCTATAAAGAAAACAAAAACACCAATGCACTCATTTGCATTTTGATACCCCTCAATTTATACTTATATTTATCTTCACCTTTTTTCTTTTGAACAGAGTATTAACATCCTTCCTTAATTTTTATAACTTTTTTTTTTTTTTTATTTTGACCATCAGAGGTGAATGAGCAGACTGATCACAGGAACTAGGTCTTTCCATCACACACTAGCCTGGTTCCTGCCATGCTCGCTACAATACCGTACAGTGGAACCTCGGTTTTTGTGATTAATTCATTCCAAAAAGTCTGACGAAAACCAAATTCAATGAAAACTGAAGTAATATTTCCTATAAGAAATAATGTAAATCCAATTAATCCATTCCAGACACCCAAAAATATTAACAAAAAATACACTTTATAGAGAATAACTATAGTTTTACATACAGAAAACAATGAGAACATAAATGACTAATGAAATGGATAAATGAACATTTAACATCATTTTTACCTTTATTGAAGACTCTTGTTGGCGTATGGAAGATGGCGAGGAGAGAGGGAGAGAAGAAGAGGGTATTGTTTGGAAGGGGAATCCCCCTCCATAAGGACTTCAGATGTTAAGGCCCTATCTGGGGTTACTTTCCTTCTTTGTCTTTTACTGGCACTAGGACCAGCTTGAGTCATGGACACAATTAGCAACAAAAAAATCTATCCAGAGTGGTCTGTTTCTGGCTATCTCTTTTATGATTTGCCTAAAATAGGACAAGGCATTGTCATTAAACATTGATGCAGACTTCCCATACATCCTGGCGAGATCTGCAGACATATGTACGCCACTTCTGTACTTTGCTAAGAGTTCTTTCTTGAATTCTATCGTGTTTCTTGCCTTCTTTATCAAAGGGTTGGCACTCGGAACTTTCTTCGGCCCCATGGTGGCTTATTTAGCAGTCGCACTCAATAAACAAGCACAAAAAACAATGAATTATTACGAAATGTTTCGGATGAACATGCGGGGTAATGCTCATTCAACAAGAAACAAAGCCAGACTGAGTCAGAATGCGTGGGATACTTTGTGTGGGCACGGCCAGGCGGATGCGTTTGGTACGGCAGACCATTGTCAACTATACGAAAACTGAGCAGATGTACGAAAACTGGGACAAAATTTTGATGAAAGAAGTCGTCGAAAACCAATCCTACAAAAACCAGGCATACAAAAACCAAGGTTCCACTGTAGTATTAAAATTCTCTGTCAGTATTCTATCCATTTGCAATAATGGTAAACTTTAGTAAAGAATAATTCTGCAGTTCGTTTTTTTAATAGCTGTACTGTACACAAATTTACTTTTTAAGTTTGGTGTGGTCAGTTAGAAGTTTTGCAAGGTGCTTAAATATGGTACATGAAAACATTAACAAATAAAGTAACCAATTAAAATTTATAAAAGCTCTGTATCAGTTTTTCTTTTTTAAATTTATTAAAAGCAGTATTATTATGCATAGTCAGTGTGCAGTATAAATATTATTCCTAGAATATGTAATGAAGAAATTAGAAGGCAGCGTGGTTGAAAAAGAGTGTTTAGTCAAAATGAACTGTTTGGTCAGAAAGAAAGGATTTGGTCAGACAAAAAAAATGGAACAAAATAAAATCATGAAAGCATAAATTTCTGGTGAAAGGGAGAAAGGATAGAAGGGTGTTAACAAGATATTTAGAGATATGGGCTTGAAAATTCAGCAGGTATACACTGGGGTGAAGGTCAAGGCTATTTGGGATTTGATATGTTGTTAGTGTGAGAATGGTAGTACTGTATCTATGAATGTAAAATTATTTCCCTAAGTTCACCTTGACTAATGAAATTTAGCTATTGCCCAATTCACTTTTACTTACAGGAAGAAATGACACAAACAGTCTGCGATTAATACTTGTAAATCATATGTCCAACACTCCTAAAATAAGAGATGTGTTACTAACAGTTCATTCATGCAAGCTCATAATGGAAAGTTAAGCGTCTCTCAATATACAGCACAATTTACTGTACACGAAGGCCCTGCTTTACAGCACTTGGGTTAGGTTCCAGGCTACCATCATAAAGAGAATCACCTTTTTCTCAACTTTTAAACTCGTTTGGACTCTTTCGGTCATCTCGTATATGTGTCTCACGAGCACAGTTTTTGTGACGTATTTACACCTACCATCCGACTTACGACCTGCTCGACTTATGACCGTGTTTTTTATGCCAAATTTCTGGGAAATAAACAACTATTTGTGTTGTGCATAGTGTTTATCCTAAACCTTACAGTATAAAATACAGTACTAACAACATAAAAAGTAAAGTAAACATGAAATACCAAAAATAAAACAATAAAGTTATTACATAATGTTTGGTGATATTCCGTAGTAAAGTTAGAATTACGGACCATTTTGACTTTACGACCGGTTCTCGGAACCGCGAACTCGGTCTATTCGGTGGAGGTGCATACTCATAAATTTAGCGGCTTCAAATCAAGCAGGAGAAAGCTGGTAGGACCACATACTGGGAAAAAATTTCACTCTTTCCTTAATACTCTAATTGAGCCTCACTATCCTCGTAAAAACTCTTCACTGCTTTCAGTTAACCTAACCTCCTACACCAGACACTTGTAACATCTGCCCACCATTGCCCCTCCTATCCACCCCTGTCATACGGCCTTTTCCAAATCCATAAATTGCCACAAAAGACCTCTTTTGCTTATCCAAATACTGTTCACTTACATGTTTCACTGTAAACACCTGGTCCACACAACCCTACCTTTCCTAAAGCCTCCTTGTTCATTGACTCATCCTATCTCCGTCTTTACTCTTAAATTCTTTCAAATTATAACTCTTTCACTTACACCTTACTACAGGTATACTCAACAGACTTATTATTTTGATTATCTTTTTATTATCACACTGGCCGTTTCCCCCTGGCAGGGTGGCCCGAAAAGAAAAAAACTATGACCATCATTCACTCCATCACTGTCTTGCCAGAAGGGTGCTTTACACTACAGTTTTTAAACTGCAACATTAACACCCTCATTCAATTTTTGCACTCTCTTTTATCCCCTTTGCCTTTATACTAAGAACTTATGCTGCTCTATTGCCTAATCCCTAGTTACCTTACCCTCTTCCATACATTTATTAAATAATTGCACCAACAACTCCAAAAACATATCCCCTCTCTGCTTTTATACATTTCTATCTTTATACCATCAATCCCTGCTGCATTAACACTTTCATTTTTACCTACTGCCTCACGAACTTCCCCCACACTCACATCTGGCTCTTCCTCACTCCTACAAGAGTTATTCCTCCTTGCCCTATACACGAATTCACAGCTTCCCTATCTTCATAAAAATTAACAATTCCTCAAAATATTCCCTCACATCTTCCCAATAACCTCTAACTCTCCAATTTAATACCTCTCTCACCTATTTTTAACTGACAAATCCTTTTTGTTCTCTTGGCTTTCTTAACTTGTTATCTCACTCCAAAAACCATTTCTTTTTTCAACAAAATTTTGTTTGATAAATCTCACCCACTCTCCTCATTTGCTCTCTTTTTTTTTACATTGCTTCCACCACTCTCTTAACTCTCTTTAACTTCACCACTCTCTCTTTAGTAATATTATATACTGAAATTTAGACTGTATTAAAAACACAAAAGAAATTAAGCCTTTTAATTTTGAAAAATAGGCTATTAATTCAAACCTTTGATCAGCAATGTAGGCCTCTGCAGCCCCAAACTTTGTGTAAAAAGTTCACATGTGGATGTCAACTTCCTTAGGTGCTACTCCTTAGTATTATACAACGCCACAACAATGTGGGCCAAGAGCACCTATGCTATGAGCTTCATCTACATACAAGTAAGTCTGAAATGGAGATTGGTAATTAAAGAAAACATCTACACAATACAAATAATAAAATCAGGTAAACATTTAAAAAGTTGAAATGAAAAATGAGCACTCAAAAACTATAAGATGACCAGTGACTGTGCTCCCCCTCCCTTCCTCCCTCCCTCATTTATGGCTATAGAGTACCTTGGTGTCTGTCATTAACCCTTAAACTGTCCAAAAGTAGCTTTAACTTTTTTTACTTTGTTTCATTTGGAGAATATCAACGGTCGGAGGCGCTACGCACGCAAAACAGTTGATCTACGTTTTGGACAGTTTAAGGGTTAGATAACATTTGATAAGTAATATAAGAATTATCTCAATCAAATTGTTTTTAGTGTGATTATTATCATTTGTGTGGACGAAACTTATTTCTTGTATTTGTTTTTAATTCTGACAAAATTTGGAAGGTCACATATACTTCCTTCCATTGAAATAAATTCCCCTCCACAACAATCATCGTCCTTCTTCCTGGTGGGCGGCGGTTTTGGATGGCGTGTATCAAAGCATCGCCGCAGCTTCATCTCCAAATCTTCACTGTCATTGATGTACGAAATATCCTAGAAAATTATAGATAAATTTTTAGTAGCATTGAAAACAATTGGTAACTGTCTTTCTTAAATTTACATTTAGATAATAGTGAAACTGGCAGGCTGGACTTAAAGAGTCTGGAGGTGGGAAGTACAGTGCCTGCATTATGAAGGAGGGGGTGCATCTACGCTGAGTTTAATAACTGCAGCTAAGTGCAACTCTGGCAAGACAGCACGTGATGATGATGAAATGTTTCTTTCTTTTATGGAGTCACCCTGACGTGGGGGGAAAAACGGTCCCTGAAAATTTTAACTCTTTTCAAACCTTTAAGACAAAATGTGATAATTGAGCATACATTACATGGAGTGAAAACAATTCTTATAAATGACGGGTTGAGAGTCACAATATTGAAAGAATTAAAGTATTGTATAATGATAAGTGACTGAAAGTTTATATCACAAGTAAAAGGGTAAAATAGGAATTATAAAAGTATTACGTATATAAAAAACTAATAACTTTGTTACTTAGGTACTAATATATGACTGAGGAATGAATTTATGAGGGGACACTGAAACTGACTAAAAATATCGTATTTATTGAACGCAGAGATGTGGACTCAATGAACAGAAACTGGCTTGTTCTAACCAATTGGTATGTAAATTACCACTGGCTACTATTTAACCTTGTAAATAAATAGGTATTGTGATCAATATTGTATCTCTATAAATAGGTAATAAACAAGTTTTCATGAACGCACTTTGATTATGGTTTCCCTCACATTCCCAACTTCACCCCAACCTTGAATTCTGCTGGAGTTACAATTCCAGCAGCCCTTGTTTAACCAGCCTACATAATTTTCCAATCATATGTAGGCTTACCTTTGTCATTTTTAGTTTTTTGTTCTTTAATAATTTTAATTCATCCACAAAACAGGAACAGGTGTCCCCTACTTTATATAATGCATTCCCAGCAGGAGGGTAGTAAGTTGACAGAAGCACATGGTAAATTTTCAGAGGATCGAGAGTTCTCCATAATGGCAAACAATGTCTGTTCAAAATAACTTTTGGTCAAAAAGAGCCAGGACAAGTGCTATGACAATCGACAAGATTACTATGACAGTAGTGTTCTAAATCAGGAGCAAGGGGAACAACTAAGAGAATATGTAAGAAAATCTTGTCATGAGGGAGAAGAGTGACGACAAGTGGTCAGAACGATTGGAAACAGCAAAACTCAGGGAACTCTCCTGATTACAACCTCAAACCCTTTCCCAACTGGACCAACTTCTGGGCCAGTCCTACTCCCTGCATCAACCACAAAACACTGACCCTCCAAATCATTCACCTTTCCATTATACCCTCCCCATCACCTTCCCCTACCCTGTCCTTTAAACCTATCAATGAATCCCTCTCCCAGTAGGGAAGGAGGGGAGGGAGGGGAGGGTGGGGAGGGTGGGGAGGGTGGGTGGGAGGGGGAGGGAGGGGAGGGGAGGGCGATGGAGGGAGAGCGGAGAGAGGGAGGGAGGGAGAGGGGAGGACGAGAGGGAGTGGAGGGAGAGTGGGAGAGGGGGGAGGGATGAGGGAGGCGAGAGGGGGAGAGAGGAAGGGAGGGAGGAGGGAGGGAGGGAGGGAGGGAGGGAGGGCAGGGAGGGACGGGGAGGTAGGGGAGGGAGAAGAGAGAGGAGAGGGGAGAGGGTATAGCAGGGTTGAGGGAGAGATGGGAGAGAGGGGAGAGAGGGGAGAGAGGGAGAGTAGGGGGAGAGAGGGAGGGAGGGCCACAATCAACCCCAGCTCAACCTCCTCAATACCTGTTGGATGAGCATCTAAGAGGGAAGTACACATAAACCAGTGTATGCTAAGGAAAGTAGTATTAGTGGGATCAGGCATAGCATGTTAAAATAAGAAAAATCGTTTGACTTACTTTAAATGTAGCTCCAAGAAAGGCGCAAGACTAGAATAAGGGATGCATGGTTGAATTCATCTGACAATACAAACAACTGGGCCCAAAAGCTGATGGTTAAATTGAGAACATTGGTTGCAAAAGCCCATGCCAAAGGTAGATGGCATCTTTCAACTCCAGGAAATTCTGGGAAACGACTTCTCCAGTGGTCCCCCCCCCGCGCTCCAGTCTACGGTGGATCTCCAAGGTACCTGAAGGTTATAGATCTAATAAACAAGTAGTATTAGCTACTTATGGTAAATGCAAGACACAAAAGGATTTGGAACCACAGCTAAAATCTATTATTTATTTTGCATATGAGATCAAAGTGATGACATAACACAGCTTAGAAAGAGCTAGGTGCAGATACTGCAGTTATAATACATTATAGGATGGCAAGTCAAAGTTCAATAGTATTTCTTATTAATCTTAACACAATATTTTATACTCATTCTAGAAAAAACTATATATGAGCACTAGGAAACCTTGATTTAACAGACTAACTGGGGAAAAGGGGTGTCTGATAATGCAGACTGTCTTGGTTACCCTCTAACCTTAAACTGTCCAAACGTAGATCTTCGTTCAAGTGCATAGACACTCCGACCTTATTTTTCTATTTGAACGCATGTAAAAAAAAGATGTATCTACATTTAGAGCCTGCCGAACATCAACGTTATCTGTGTGTGTCCAAATGTTAGGTTCTAACTTTTTTTCAACATCTGAAGTATGTAAAAAAAATCGTTTAGATCTTCTATTCTTTTTTTACATTTGGAAAACGTTGGTAAAAAACTTTGATCTACTTTTTTTTTTGTTATATTTGAAGGAGAAGTAAATGCGAGGTCTTGACATAGAGGCCACGTGGAGGTTAAAAGTATATAGAATCAACACATAAAGTGGGAGTTGTCACGTTGCTCTTTTGCTGATGCACTGTGCTCTTGGGAAGGTTTCTCGAAGAGGAAGTTGCAGAGATTGGTGATGATTTGGTAGGGTGTGCAAAAGAAGAAAATTAATAGTGAATACAGGAAAAGAGTAAGGTTATGAGGATAACAAAAAGATTTAGGTGATGAAGATTGGGATATCTGATTGGAGGGAGAGATGTATGGAGGAGGTGAATGTATTCAGATATTTGGGAATGGAAGTGTCAGCGGATGGGTCTATGAAAGATGAGGTGAATAATTAGAATTGATGAGGGGAAAAGTGGTGAGTGGTGAACTTAGGTGTCTGTGGTGACAAGACTTTGTCCTTGGAGGCAAAGAGGGGAATGTATGAGAGTATAGTTTTACCAACGCTCTTATATGGGTGTGAAGACATGGGTGATGAATGTTTGCAGCGAGGAGAAGGCTGGAGGGCAGTGGAATGATGTCATGTCTGAGGGCAATGTGTGGTGTGAATATAATGCAGAGGAATTCGTAGTTTGGATGTTAGGAGGAGGTGCGGGAATTCCAAATACTGTTGTCTGAGAGGGCTGAGGAAGGGTTGTTGAGGCTGGTTCGGACATGTAGAGAGAGAATGGAGCAAAAATCCGAATGCATTCAAGAGTGTATCAGGTCTGTAGGGAAGGAAGGCGGGGTTAGGGGTTCGGCCTAGGAAAGGTTGGAGGGAGGGGGGTAAAGGGAGGTTTTGTGTGCGAGGGGCTTGGCTTCCAGCAGGCGTGCGTGAGCCGTGTTTGATAGGAGTGAATGGAGGGGAATATGGTTTTTTTATTACTTGACGTGCTGTTGGAGTGTGAGCAAAGTAACTTTATGAAGGGGTTCAAGGGAAAACGGCAGGCCCCGAGAATTGAGTCCTGGAGATGGGAAGTACAGTTGCCTGCACTCTTGAAGGAGGGTGGGTGTTAATGTTGCAGTTTATAAAACTGTAGTGTTAAAGCACCCTTCTGGCAAGACCAGTGATGGAGTGAATGTGGTGAAAGTTTTTCTTTTTCGGGCCAACCCTGCCTTGGGGGATATGGCCATGTGATAAAAAAAAAAAAAAAAAAAAATAAAAATAAAAATGGAGATTATGTATCTACGTAGATCTACTTTTGGTGTGCATACGCATGTGAACGAAATTTGTTTGGACAGTAAGGTTTGTTAATTAATCACCAGCGTACATTATGGACAAGTGAAAACTGTGTTCTGATGTGTACTGAACCAAATATCTGTTGACTCAATAATGACACCTACAAGTATTTTTGACATCAGCAGAACCGTTTGGATCTCCTACATCTCTTCACGCCCTCTGTAAATTTCTGAAACTTAGGTGGGTCCACAAAGTGCACTGTGGGAAATGCTGAATAAACTAGCATAAGTAAACAATGAAAACAGGACTTGTTGCTCCACACACCAGCTTCCCTAACAGAAAAACAGGGGTGTGGAATGACAGTAGATACCTTATTCATTCCAATTTGTAATTTCATATTACCTCTGTCAGGGTCCAGAGGCCAAATTTTAAAGTGCTGCCACCAAGGGGTCCAAACGAATTTCCAAAAAAAAATTTTGTTTATTTTTTCTTTTTTTATGAAATGGGTAGAGGAATATTTTTTATGAAGGTAATAAAACAAGATAGTAGGAAATCTGATGGAAAATTGAACGAAATTATGATCTCGCAAATTTTGATTGTGCCATCGTATTACGAATCGGTGGTTTGACGACTTTGACTTCCAATTTTAGGCCAATTACGTTATTTCAGTTGACCAAATTCTTAGCTATTTACTAGCATTACTTTCTATTCTGTCGATTGAGCATAACAAACCGCCCAGTCAACCTGTTTAAAATACTAAATACAGTGATTGGAAACTTGGTAATTGGCAATTAAACACCATAGTTCAAATATTCCATTTCCACAAAGAGGGTCCAGAATAAACAATGCAGGCATCCTGGCACTAAACTAAACATTTCCCACTGTTCATTAGTTACTGTTTCAGGGCTTTACAAATGAAATTCCATTTTGAATTTTTATTCTCACTGATCTTTTATTTTCAAACCAAAAAAAGACAGGAGATTTACTGTTATGCAATATTGTATTAATGTTATAAATGTCATCACACATTTGTGAATGTATTATTTGACCCAACCAGCTGGCGTGTATTGACGTGTGAAAGATTGTTTGTTTACTCTTGAACATCGGCAAAAAGTTAACATTTCTGATTCTTTGAGCTCAGTTTCAAGCCATTTCTCGTACTAAAACCAATCATAAATCATCTCCATTTCTGTATTATATCTTCATTTATATCAAATGAGGCCAAGCTAATCAGCCCAAATAACAACTATTAAAAAACATACGAAAAAAAACACTGGCAAAGTCGGCTGTTTTTAAATCAGAAAATCATGGTCTCAGTTTTTTCTCTCATTATACACTGTGTGCTGCAGGATTTGTTTTATGTGGTACACACATACCACATAGATGTATTCTCTCATATCTAGGCCCCCCAAAAATTACCATCACAGCTTTTCAGAGTGCCTGAGTCATGGCGTAGATCTACGGTTTGGACCCTCAATGTAAAGCCATAGATCTATGGCACTGACCCTGAAAGGGTTAACATTGGAATACAGTCAAAAAAGCACACAACGTAAATTTAACCTTGATAACTTATGTTATCTAAACATGTAAATTATTTCCCAGTTTCGATGAGTATTACACCTTGAAACAATTGCAATATAATAAGACTTCCTTGTAAATATACATTTTACAGTGGTCTTTGAAGACACACAGGTGTTATGGACACACAGAAATTGCATTATGTTTATTTCATCTTCTTTCAACAACTGGCTGTATCCCACCGAGGCAGGGTGGCCCAAAAACAAAAAATGAAAGTTTCTCCTTTTAACTTTAGTAACGTATATAGGAGAAGGGGTTACCAACTCCTTGCTCCCAGCATTTTAGTCTCCTCTTATGACATGCATGGCTTACAGAGGGAAGAATTTTATTTCCACTTTCCCATGGAGATAAGAGGAAATAAACATTAACAAGTACTAGTAAGAAAATAAAAGAAAACCCAGAGGAGTGTATATATACACTTGTACATGCATGTGTAGTGTGACGTACGTGTAAGTAGAAGTAGCATAAACGTACCTGAAATCTCAAACATGTTTATGAGACATAAATAGGACCCAGGGGGGCCCAGTCTCTTCCATCATTGTAAAACAATTACAGGTTTTCATTTTACACTCACTTGCACAGGATGGTATAGTAGCTCACTGGTTGGCTGCCCGTTACTAATCTACTACTTAGATAATGTTTATGTATAACACACATGATATTCCCTCAAACCTAAACATATAACAATGCTCAATAATATCCCACATGGAGACAGAAACTCGGATGATTAACTGATCTGTATATTTCAATCCACTTCTGGGATCCTCTTCAGCAGATACGTAAGTGATAGAAATGACATATTATAGGGAAGAATGAACCTCGCCCCTTACAAGAAGTGGCACGTTGGGGGGGATTTGTCCAAGTAGTGATGTGGAGGTAGAAGAAAACAGGGTCCTGTGGTGAAGCTTAAAATTTGGGTAGGAAGTTCCTTTGTGCTATGTGATTCATAATCTTAAGCTGGCATTCTGTATTACGTTTGGCAATGCAATGTACTTCTTGAGCGGTGAATGAAATTTGATACAAACTTCTGGCTTCATTTGTCCCCTGTGAGAACAAAGAAATTGAGGACTGGTACGTATTGAAGGCAGATTCATGATTTTTTTGAGTTTGTAGTTGCATGTGTGATTGTGTATTTTAATAGTGGCAACTTTCACCAATGGACATATTGCGACCTGTTGTTGCCTGACATGCTGAAAATTTGCTGGATGACCCAGCTAGTTGTAGTATAATCAAAAAACTTATTTCTATGATTGATAAGTATTACACTTTGGAAACAATTGTAATTTTAAAGCACTCTTGTTACAGTGTGTAAGAAAAACCAATGCAGTACGAAAAAGAATAATAAACAATTTTGGGGGGGTCCAGGGGGGTGCTTTGCATTCCATATGTTTATGAAGTGCCTAAAACACATTGAAAAACACATCTAGTATGTAAGGAAACTAGTGTGTTTAGTGTTTTAAGTATAAAAACAATATATTTCTGAAGAACTCAATCATAATTTGCTTATTAAATAGAAAATTGTAAAAATCATGGCACATTATATGTCATCGTGCTGACAAATGATATTTTTTATAACTTTAACACACTATAATATTTAGTTTTTTTTATCAGTTCCCCTAATTTCAGTCTTATGTGATCCAAAAAATTTACAATTATTAATCTGCTAAATAAAAAAATCAAATTGATTCAAATAATGCCAATCACAGATTTTGGGTATGCCACAATTAAAGGGTTAAATATGAATGAGTGACCTTTTTTCCATTGACTGTAACAAGCAATGATGAATGTGTTTTACTCAGCTTCAATGGAAAAGTATGAAGAGGTGAGAAATGAAAGATACAAAAAGGATACTTGAACAGACTTCCTTTAAAACGTTGCCTAGTTCTATGAGGGGACTGCTGGTTGTTATAACAGCTTCCTTTCGTAACTTGTTGTAGCGGCATCAATGGAATGGGCCTTTATTTTCGGCAAACCCCAAGATAGTTGTATGATCAGAATTATTGCTACTTGATTGGTCTTTCCTGTTTATCCTGTTAAGAGAGACACACTCAAAAATAACATATTTAAAAATACTTTAAGCAAATAATTATTAAGACTAACTTTAGTCTTCTATTGTGTGAGACAAGACGGAGAGGGCCCTAATAATTATATCCTATTCCATTCCAAGAAGTTTATGGCTTCTTACATTGTGGACAATTACTTCACCCACTACATGCATTTTATATGGATAACAATTTACTAAAATCTTCCCAATCTAATTTTCATCACTAACTATAGTGTCTGTTAAAGTCTTTTCATTGTCTTTAAAATTTAAAATTGATCTTTTCAGTGGCCATTCTTGCAGTACTACACCACCATGGTCAAGGCCCTACACGTGTTATGATTCATGAGCTCAGTCACTAGATTGGGTGCAAGCTGGTCAACCTTCAGGTCGGTATAACGGGCTTGTATTGGTCTGATTCAATTATTGGGATGTCATTTAAACAAACGTCCCCAACCTTCTGGTTATATTTTATTATCTAGGATATAGAGTTATAATTTTCTATTTTTTGTGCTGATTTGTATTTAAAAATGATAAGGGTAAGTGTAATACGGAGAGGTCTTGGGACATGGATTTAATGCGAACATTGGAAATGGTTGCTTTTTGTGCCAGGAATGTATATGTTCTCTTCGTGTTCAATTTTTATATAGGTTATTTTTTGTGTAAAAGGACCCAAATTACCAACTTTGCACTTCTATATGGTAGTTGTAATAGTCAAAGAATGGGAGTTTCTTGTTCTCAACTGGTAGATTGGAAAAGCCATCATACTTGCAAATAGTATGAATTTTGTCAAATGGAACTTTGGAATCGAACTAAAACAGGACTCAAAATGGTGCGAAATAGCCAATGTGCAAATTGCACCCAGATCGCTATCGTTGCTCACTGTGTAATTCCATAACTTTTTATTCCAACAAATTTTGTTACTCCTGGTGATATTACTCTCAGAAAAAGATTCTTACCATTTCAGATTATTTTTTTAAAGTGGACCATGAGAGCATTATTAATTTTGGGGTCTGAAGAGTAAAAGGGGTTATGGATAAAGTGTTCATTAAGGTCTCCTCACTTAAAATATCATTCTGGTACTCGACACTTGATATTCCTCAAATTTTAGTCACAAATTACTGATGTATTTTGGCTTAAATTTTTTCACACTAAAGATTATTTATTATCTCTGCACACAGTTTCTAGCTTCTCTCGGTTGATTATCAGAAATTATTCTGCGTCCTCCTGGTTATAAAGCTGAGGTCATTTTTCTAGGACGGATTCTGTTTCATTTATTCCCATGATATATGAACAAAAACAGATCTTAAAAAAGCAATACACTAAATCACTAGAGTTTCACTAAGTTAACCCCACAAACAAGTCTAGCAAACAAAGATCCCATCAACGGACATAAAGTCACACTCCTCAGAGGTTGCCAGGGGTTTTAACACCACAGCAGCATTTGTCATTTTTCAATGCTTTTAGTTTTGTCGTTCTGAAGGGATTAGTAGGACTGGCAATAGTCAGGATGCCTATCAAAACATTGAAATCCTCCAGTTGTTTCTTAGGATTCGCTGAATTCACTCTCCCTTTTGTGGTGAATTAAATGTTAACTTGTTAGTGTATTGCTATATATCTGTGGAAAGCAAGGAAAGAGAAAGTGTTAACACTTCCTTAATTTTTTTTTTTTTTTTCAACATGTTGTCTGTTGGTCGCTGGTCTCCCACTGCGGCAGGGTGACCCCCCCCCCATAAAAAAAAAAGAAGCCATTTTCACCAATCATTCACAACTTTCACCATCATTTAACACTGTCTTTAAAGAGGTGCCAAGAATACAACAGTTTCTTATAATATCACTCCAAAAAGCCAAACAATTATCCCAAAACTCCTCCTTTAATAGTAATGGAATTGTACTTCCCCACCTCCAGGACTCAAAATCCAGTCTACCAATTCACCTGGAATCCCTTCTCAAAATTTTATATTTACTTTTATATGGGCAGCAAATTAAACATACAAAATTTTCAAAGAAACAAATAATTACTAAATTACTAATGTAACATGTACAGTACTTACTTCATAGTCAAAACACTTATCTGGCGTGTATCGCTCCATAAGATCAATTTCTGCCCCTGGAACGCTGCAAATTGTTCTGTTCCAGCAGTCTTGAATACGACGGTATACATTGCGAGTGTAGAAGCTCTCAAACCCAATGTACAGTGGGACATAACCCTGTATTAGATAAAATTGTTGCAAAATTCATTCATTATCAAGGGAAACTAGTTTCTCTTAAAAAAATAAACTAAAAATAAATTTATTTCTATTCAAAAAGAAAATAAACAAATCTAATAAAATTCACTTTCATAATAAACATACCACATAATTAACATAACAGAAGCATACAATGCAAGCAGTGGATAATAAACATATCGATGCACATAGTTTACAGATCAGGGGATGCCAAAAATTTTATAGCAAATGAAAAAATAAGATTCTCACATATTTATTATTTAAATTCATTTATTCATATATATATATATTATATATTATATTATAGATATATTTATATTCTATTATATATATATGATAATACATATATATACTATATATAATATTTATATATATATATATATATATATATTTATATATATATATATATTACTTAAAAAATACATTTATTTGCAACTGTGTAGGGTAGGCAATCTCCCGGCAAGAAAGTTTGTGGTAGTGAGGCGCCTTGCATGCCAGAGTGACCAAACCCTGAGCATTCACATAGGAGTAACACTTTAGCCAGCTCTGCCTGGCTTCGGATTAAACCCATTACCTAAACATGAAAGGCCAGTGTTCGCCTTGCCGCGGTGGTCCCTTACATACACATTCACTTAGGGTCTAACTCTAGGCTTTCCCTTAAGTACACCTCATGCAGAGTCTACCATAATGAACATATAATTTTTAATCTCAAATACAGCTCCAAATACATAATTGAGGGTGCTCTTAAGAAAAAAATCTAGAGTTCTACCCAATTCACTCTACCTCTCTGTTTTTTTCTTTCGTTGATGGTGGTAGAAGAATATCATTGAAGTTTTTGTAGCCAACGAAGAAGAGGGACGCCATAGGACAGATAGATGGTGAAGGTGGTGAACGGTGGACACTCCTCTATGTCCTTTTTTATTAGTGTGGTAAAAAAAATGCATTCTTTTTTAAATTGGGAAAATAGTGTAGATTCCAAACAAAGCATGACAAAAATGGACAAACCCAGTACCATAAATCACAAAACAATTTTATTTACATTATTGCTTAGTAAGCGCAATACTTGCCTCAACATGTTTTTTTTCATTTTGTTACATACACTTAACTTGTTATACCATACAATTACTTATTACCATTTGAATCAGTAGCTTTTCGTGGACTAGGAACATAGGACACAAATACATATCCCAAAACAAACATATAAAAGTAATAATTACATAGACAGATGCAAGTGTAAACAAACATGCACTACTCAGCAACAACATGCAAATGTTATTAATAACAAATTTAACCAATTTGCTAAGAGAACTTTACTGATTGGCCTTTAATGTTAGATGCATTTAATGTTTCACTAACACTAGCTTACACTTACACTAACAAAATATAGAGTACTGTATTAAATAAAGCATGCCATACACAAAATCATAGTTAAAAATAAAGAGCAGAAGAACTGGGGTATGTGCTCCTTAAAAAAAAAAAATATTAATTTTCAATTGTTATGAATCAGAGAATTACTCAGAGTCAGAAAAAAAATTAAAGTACTTACTGAGCTTTTGCAGTCATCTGTTTGAACACAGAAATAACTTAATATTTATACTCCTTCTGATAGCCCTATAAAATCCCTATTGTGCTATCAAGAATCAATGATGTGTAATATACATACTGGATATACTGAAAAGCAATTCTGAATATTATGCATAACTTCTTAAACACAAAGAGAGATACATATACAATCGTACAAAAATATTTTTTCACACTAAACCTTCATTCACGGCTGTATTGCAACATTTAAATTATGTTGACACCTCGCAAACGCAATGTAATAAATCCCTCCTTTCGGAGTGCTCGGCAATTATACTTTTTATCTCTGGGGACTCCAATATGGCTACTGGTTTCCTGAATCACATCTTGAGAAGCATTACCTTGCTCACAACCTCCAACGCCATGCCAAACCCTAAAAACTACTTTGTTGCCTCTCTAGTCATAAGCCATGTCTAGGTTATGTGTTAGAATTGGAAACTTTAGCAGATGAAAGTTGCCCATTTTTTTTTTTTAATTATCACAGATTTATTCAGTGCCAGACATTCAAATTTTATTTTTTTCAACTATTTTACTCTATTTCTTGCTTGAATTTTAAAAATTATCACATTTATGACTGTTTGATTCTATAAAGAAAACAAAAACACCAATGCACTCATGTGCATTTTGATACCTCAATTTATACTTATATTTATCTTTCCCTTTTTTCTTTTGACAGAGTATTAATCCTTCCTTAATTGTTATAACTTTTTTTTTTTTTTTATTTTGACCATCAGAGGTGAATGAGCAGATGATCACAGGAGGAATCGGTCTTTCCTCACACACTAGCCTGGTTCCTGCCATGCTGCTACAATATCGTAGGGCGAGTTTTTTAGCGTTAGCGGAGGCAAAATTTTTGCATTAAAATGTATTGTATGCTGGATTTAACATAAGGTGATGCCATCGTTAGCTGAGGGTCCACTGTACTACAGTGGATCCTCGACCAACGATGGCATCGTCTAATGTTAAATCTGACTAGCGATACATTTTAACGCAAAAATTTTGCCTCGACTAGTGCTAAAAAACTCGACCAACACGATTCGTTCCGTTCGAGACACATCCACTTGTGGCCAGTGTTTACAAGCCAGCCAGCCAGCCAGCCACCGCGGTCCCATCCAAACATACAATCGGAACATTTCATATTATCACAGCGTTTTTAGTGATTGCACCTGCAAAATAAGTCATCATGGGCCCCAAGAAAGCTTCTAGTGCCAACCCTACAGCAAAAAGGGTGAGAATTACTATGGATATGAAGAAAGAGATTATTGCTAAGTATGAAAGTGGAGTGCGTGTCTCCGAGCTGGCCAGGTTGTACCAAAACCCCAATCAACCATCGTTTACTATTGTGGCAAAAAAAACGGCAATAAAGGAAAGCTGTTCTTCCCAAAGGTCCCAACTATGTTTTCGAAACTGAGATCGCAAGTGATAGAAGATACTGAGAGACTGTTATTGGTGTGAATAACTGAAAAACAGATAGCAGGAGATAGCATCTCTCAAGCGATCATATGTGAAGGTAGGAAGTTGCATTGACGATTTAATTAGAAAAATGCCTGCAACTAGTGGTGATGTGAGTGAATTTAACGCCAGCAAGGTTGGTTTGAGAGCTTTAAGAATCGTAGTGGCATACTTAGTGTGTAAGGCATGGTGAGGCTGTCAGTTGGACCAAAATCAGCTGAAAAATATGTGCAGGAATTCAAGGAGTACTTAGACAGTGAAGAATTGAAACTGAGCAAGTGTTTAATTGTGACATGACAATGTTGTGAACCACTTTAGGAATTGTATAAAGGGATGGGAGGTACAGGCCTCTATGGACAGATATGTTGTGCGACAGAGGTCCAGTGACTCTCAAGCTGGTCCTAGTGGCATTAAAAGAAGAAGGGAAGTAACCCCCGGAAAAGGACTTGACACCTCAAGTCCTAATGGAAGGGGATTCCCCTTCTAAACACTAACACCATCCACACTCTCCACTCATCCCATCAATCATCATCAGATCTTCAATAAAGGTTTTGAAGATATGAATGAAGACGATGTGAATGAGCTCTTGGAAGATGATGATGAAGACAGGAGTCCAGAGTAAATGTTAGCAGAGCTCGATGCACAGATACAAGGAAGGGATAAAGATAAAGAAGAACCTGAAGAAAAACAGTTAACATTGCAGCAGTTACGTGAGCATTCCACATTATTGGTAAAGTTGTAGAGTTTTTCACTGAAGAGGACCCTGACAAATCTAGGGGTCTAGACCAGCTGATGATGCCTTACCATCAGCTGTATAATGTATTGCAAGGTAAAACAGCCCAGAGAACCATTACAAAACTTATGCACACTCCAATACAACAATTGACTTCAGTACCAGAACCTCTACCATCTACTTCTGTCGACAACCAACAACCATCAACATCAGCCAGTAGGGCCACACCATCCATATCCACTCTCTCCACAATCATCCACACACACCATTACCCACAATCTAAGGTAAGAAATACTATTTTTTTATTGCATTTGTAGTCTTAAGCAGTAATATATCACGACAATGAACTACAATTACATGCTCACTTTTATTTTTTTAAGATCTGTTGGTCTAAAAAAAAAGTTGTTTGGCATTTTGGGGGCTCCCAGGAACATAACCCTAATTTTCCCACAAGTTCTTCAGTCCATTTAGCACAATTTTACCTAACATGGCATTTTCAGGAACGTAACTACTGTGCTAAATAACGTTCTACTGTATGTTCAATAGCATGCTGCTGTTATTAATATTTGTTCTGTTCAGTTTTGCTTTGTTGCTAGGCTAGCAAGCCATATAGGCATAGAATCTGGGAAAGTGATGGCTGGTTTTGGTGCTTCCATAAACACCATGGCTTAATCAACATAAACAATTACAGTGAGGCTGGTAGTGCATTCGTGTCTCCTCACCATCTGTCTGATGAACCATCAACTATGTTTGCCACACCAGCTACAGTAGAACCTCGTTTTCTCTTGTCCTGGTTTTCATCGAATTCGGTTTTCGACAGCTTTTTTTTTTATCAAAATTTTGTCCCAGTTTTCGTTCATCACCTTAGTTTTCATCGGTCCACTGTACCAAATGTGTCCGCCTGCCCATGCCCACACAAAGCATCCCAAGCGTTCTGAGACAGTCTGGCTTTGTTTCTCGTTGAGTGAGCGCTACCCTGAGCGTTCATCCGAAACATTTCGCAATAATCCATTGTTTTTAGTGCTTGTTTACTGAGTGCGACTGCTAAATAAGCCACCATGGGGCTAAAGAAAGTTCTGAGTGCCAGCCCTTTGATAAAGAAGGCTAGAAATTGTGGCCAGAATGTGTCCAAGAGAAGGATTTTGAAGGGTTTGAGGATGACCCTGGCAACCCTATGCCTGTTGTGGAATCTATTGTAGCTTTAGGGAAGTTCATGGGGTTGGATGCGAGTGGCCAGGATGTGGAAGAGTTGGTGGACGAGCACAGGGAAGCGCTAACCACTGAAGAGCTGCAACACCTTCAACTGGAACAGCAACAGATCACAGCTGAGGAAATTGCTTGAGGAGGAAGAGAGAGGGGAGAAAGTGCCTTCTTCAGTGATTAAGGACGTGTGTGCAAAGTGGAGTGAGTTGCAAAGTTTTGTGGAGAAATATCATCCTAACAAAGCTGTTGCAAGCCATATCTCCAACACGTTCAATAACAATGCCTTGTCCCATTTCAGGAAAATCGTAAAAGAGATGTCAGAAACAGACCTCTCTGGATAGATTTTATGTGCAACAGGGGTCCAGTGAAAGTAAAAGACAAAGAAGGGAAGTAACCCCAGATAGGGACTTGATACCTGAAGTTCTTATGGAGTGGGATTCCCCTTCCAACCAATAACCTCTCCTCCTCCCTTTCCCCCTCCTCGCGACTTCCATAGGCCAACAAGAGTCTTCAATAAAGGTAAAAGTGATATTAAATGTTCATTTATCCATTTCATTAGTCATTTATATTTATCATTGTTTTCTGTATGTAAAACTATGGTTATTCTCTATAAAATGTATTTTTTGTTAATACTTTTGGGTATCTGGCATGGATTAATTGGATTTACATTATTTCTTATGGGAAATATTCCTTCAGTTTTCGCTGAATTCGGTTTTTGTCAGACTTTCTGGAATGAATTAATGACAAAAACCAAGGTTCCACTGTACTTGTATGTTTCTTACATCACCTGAGATTTACTGGTGGAGCTTTACAGCTCCTCTCATTTGGAATAAAAAATTTTATGAGTCACCACCAGACAACACAGGAATCTAACTTTAAGCCTATCTACCCACCAGAAACAGTAATAAATTACTGTACTATACTCTACTGAAATTTGTAACTCT